CCAAAATTAAATGTAATTTCTCCTCAAGTTCCAACTAGGCAAATGCAGGCAATGGCTCCATCCCAGCTTCTCAAAGAAACAGGAACACACAATTCTTTTTTGGTATTGTTTCTTGAGCAATCAGTATATATTTCAGCAAGTTTTTGTTTGTTTGTTTTTAACTCTCTAGTTAATTGTTTAACCTCCCTTCTCCTTTGGGAGCTCTGGTGGCACAGTGCCTCAGGCACCTGACTGCTAACCAGAAGGCTGGAGGTTCAAACCCACCAGCCACTCCTCAGAAGGAAGATGGGGCAATCTGCTTCCGTAGTGATACCCCCTTGGAAACCTGAGGGGTTGCTGTGAGTCAGGTCCAACTCAACAGCAAATAACAACAACAACCCTCCTCCTTCTACCCCTGGTAACCATCAAATAATATTTCTTCTTTTGAAAATCTTCTCTTGTTGTAATAGTGATCTTATACAGTATCTGTCCTTTTGTGGTTGACCAATTTCACTCTCTTAATGTCCTATAGGTTCCTCCATGTTAAGAGATGTTTCACAGATTCATTGTTGTTCTTTAACATTGTGTAGTATTCCATTGTGTGTATGGACCCCAGTTTGTTGTCCATTCACCCACTGATGGGCATTTAGGTTGATTCCATCTTGTTTGCTATTTGAATAACGCTGTGAACATGGATATGCATGTATCTGTTTGTGTCATGGCTCTTCTGTAGGATATATACCTCATAGTAGGACTGCTGGATCATATGGCATTTCCATTTCCAGGTTTGTAAGGAAGATCCCTGTCATTTTCCACAGTGGTTGCACCACTTTACAGTCCCACCAGCAGTGTGTGAGGGTTTCAGTTCCCCATACACTAGCTGGCATTTTTTTTTTTTTTTTTAACTTTGCTATTAGTGCTGGGGAGGGATGGTAAGCTCATTGTTGTTTTGACTGGAAAGTCTCTAATGTCTAACGACTGCAAGCATGTCATGAATTTGTTGGATGCCTGAATGTCTTCTTTGGGGAAGTGCTTGTTCATATTCTTTGCCCATTTTCTATATGTATTATTTCTTTTTGTTGCTGAGGTGTTAAAACTTTTCTGTAAATTTGAGAGACTAGCCCCTTGTCCGATATGCCATTGCAAAAAATGTTTTGAAGTTGGTGGGTTCTCTTTTCACTCCTTTTCCACTCTAAATAGAAGACCCAGCCACCTTCTTCCATAAAAATTACAGCTATTAGTACTAATAAACCCTATGGGGAAGTTCTACTCTGTCACATGGAGTAACTATGAGTCAGAATTGACTTGAATGCACCTGGTAACATACATAAGGTCACAAGTTGGAGATAACTCAGTGCGATTAAATGTGATTAAAACAATCACATAATCATGCAGAAGAGTTTCCACTCAAGTAAATGTTTGAGAATGGTGATCTTGTGTTAATATTCTTAATGCAAATGTAAAACTAGCTAAACACAAAAATAAAAGTAAAAAGAACCTCAGTAATCGTGTCATGAGGGAAACTATTTGAATGTTACTAGAAACCAAACTTTTTTTTAAATAGACAAGATATAACAGAAATGACAACTTGCCCATTTACACCATCTGCCCTATGAGTGTTCCTTGCTTCAATCTAGTAAGTTAGACTTGAACAAACATTTCTGAAAACCATCAGAGTTCTTGACTAAAATCCATTCTTGTGCCCTATTTGTCAATGTGCTCTAGGTTTCTAGTGCCCAATGTCACCTAATACTCGTAAAAATCCCCTTGCTTTGCCTCACTCTTTGGAGTTGAACTCAGGCTTATGCTGACATCTTTCTCCTACCACAATAGCCTGAATAAAGTCTAGTTTTCCTATTTAAGTGTCCAGCACCATATCTTTTACTTTACAAAAACACAATCTTAAATCTATATTGAGAATATGAGTACGTATTTATGATAGAAAAAAATATGTATTTTAGATGTTCACTTTCAGTGAAAAAAATTCAAGACAAAATTGATTAAATGGCAACAGATTTTCATTTAGCACTGAGTCCATGCATTGCACAGACTTTGATTTTTAAAAGGAACCAGAGGGGGAACCATGGTCACAGGGCACATCAAGCTTAATAGGCATAATATACTACTCAATACATTGTTCCACATCCTACTTTGGTAGGTAGCAACTGGGGTCTTAAAAGCTTGTAAGTGACTATCTAGATGCAATGATGGGTCTCTCCTTGTCAGAGCAAAGAATGAAGAAATCAAAAGACATATGGAACAATTAGTCCAAGGAACTGGTAGACCATGCGATCTCCATCCTATATGACCATGAGACCAGAAGACCGATATGGTGCCAGGCTACCACTGTCAATTACTTGGCGGGAATTGGTGCAGGAGATCCTGGATAGAGTGGGAGAA